TCTGTTTAAAATCTGTTTTTCCGTTAATCAGCTGTCGCCCCCATACGAACGACAACTCTCAGAAGTTGAGAAACTTGTGCGAGCTAAGGACTAAAGAGGTCTTACCTTTTAACGTGTGATTCCTAACAATTTGAAATAACAAAGTCCGCGCTAACTTCGTATATAATCGGAAGGGTTTGGAATATGAAACTATTTTTACAGAATTGTACTCCATGTCATTACCATACCACCCAATTCTCTTAATAATTTTTTTCACAAAATCTATCGATGCAACTCAAAAGTTGGGGTGGACAATCTTCAAGAATATAGGGGTAGAGGTATGGAAAACTACATGCTCGTATAGCAACTTGGTAATAAAAATAGAAGTACCCCAGAACTTTCATGGAATCATTTTAGAGAGTGTATACGTTTTTTTTTGTAAGAACGGTGATCTAAAAAGCTTAAAATCAGTTGAAAATGAATGACTAGCGTTTGCAATGGTTTATATAACTACCATAAACTGAATATAACAATAGGATAGCAGAAATTTACGAAAATTTGTCATATGTAGCATATGCAATATACTTAGTCGGCAATGCGATTATCTTTACTCCTGTCGTGCCCCTTAACCCACCTCAGGATAATGTTATTATCTACCGAGGCTTTGGCTAAATCTTGGTGGCACTCTAGTACTAGCCCTGAGGTTACACGTTGACTGTTCAAGGGTAATAGGGCTTGTCTGCTATCAGTGCAGATTGTTATGTTTTTGTCAGAAATTCCTTTCCTGGTTATTTCTTTTGTGGCGATTGAGATACCAGCCAGTTCTGTTTGGACCAACCACGCTGGTATTTTTTCCCATTCCCCACTTAATCCTTAGGCCTAATGATCCGGAGTACACTCCACATCCTTAGCCTTCTTTGGTTTTTGAGTCGTCTGTATATATGCGTATGGTATTTGTGGCATCTGACTCACTGTTCTGTTTTTTTTGAATTTTGTAGGGTTTATTAAACACAAACCTGGGTTCAATTGCATCACTGGTTGCCTGCAGCAGAGGTTGCGCAGTAAGCGCTTCTCGCCATAGGTTCAGCCTCAATTGACTCATTTCTACTTCGAGGTTTACACCAGCCGTGCACAATCGTAACAAGGCC